CAAACACACAAACACACAAACACACAAACACACAAACACACAAACACACAAACACACAAACACACAAACACACAAACGCACAATCACACAGACACACAGACACACAGACACACAGACACACAGACACACAGACACACAGACACACAGACACACAGACACACAGACACACAGACACACAGAACACACAGACACACAGACACACAGACACACAGACACACAGACACACAGACACACAGACACACAGACACACAGACACACAGACACACAGACACACAGACACACAGACACACAGACACACAGACACACAGACACACAGACACACAGACACACAGACAAACAGACACACAGACACACATACACACATACACACAGACACACAGACACACAGACACACAGACACACAGACACACAGACACACAGACACACAGACACACAGACACACAGACACACAGACACACAGACACACAGACACACAGACACACAGACACACAGACACACAGACACACTACACACAGACACACAGACACACAGACACACATACACACAGACACACAGACACACAGACACACAGACACACAGACACACAGACACACAGACACACAGACACACAGACACACAGACACACAGACACACAGACACACAGACACACAGACGCACAGACGCACAGACGCACAGACGCACAGACGCACAGACGCACAGACGCACAGACGCACAGACGCACAGACGCACAGACGCCCAGACGCACAGACGCACAGACGCACAGACGCACAGACGCACAGACGCACAGACGCACAGACGCACAGACGCACAGACGCACAGACGCACAGACGCACAGACGCACAGACGCACAGACGCACAGACGCACAGACGACACAGACACACAGACGACACACAGACACACAGACACACAGACACACAGACACACAGACACACAGACACACAGACACACAGACACACAGACACACAGACACACAGACACACAGACACAGACACAGACACACAGACACACAGACACACAGACACACAGACACACAGACACACAGACACACAGACACACAGACACACAGACACACAGACACACAGACACACAGACACACAGACACACAGACACACAGACACACAGACACACAGACACACAGACACACAGACACACAGACACACAGACACACAGACACACAGACACACAGACACACAGACACACAGACACACAGACACACAGACACACAGACACACAGACACACAGACACACAGACACACCCACACGTGGACGCGCACGCGCACGCGCACGCGCACGCGCACGCGCACGCGCATGGTAAATCCATCATCTGTTCAAGTCCTTCAACTGATTCATACAGGCTGCAAAAAGACATTGCCACTTGGGGTGCTAAATAGCGCATGGCGTCCCACATGATGCTTTATTCTATCTCAAAAGGCACCGAACGAGGATGGATGCTGCTTTTCAAAGCCACTAATTTGCACCCAGTCTTCAGTGCTCTTGGCATGAGGTATGTTCGTTCCCACTCTGATGACATACTCGTGAAAACATCCAAGTCGCTTTAGGAAGGGAACTGAGGAGCCCCGTATCGAACGCATGGATATGAACCGCGTCTTGACCAGGGTTCACATTCCCTATCCAACTCGCCCCAAAACAAAAACCTCACATTGAATTCTGTCCAAAAGCTGGGCTGAATGGATTTCCCCCGCCCGCCCGCCCGCCCGCCCGCCCGCCCACCCACCCACCCACCCACCCACCCACCCACCCACCCACCCACCCACATCAAAGTGCTGCATGGGTGTTCGAGTAATAGTTTCGGCTCGCAAGACACTTGGCTTCCCTTTAGCTACATTAACAGAGGCACAAAAGAAGCAACGGCGGTTCAAGGGCCCCAGCAGTGCCTCCCAGACACCCGCATCTGGCATTTGCCCGGCTTTAGTAGTCAATATGAAAGCAAAATCAAAACACACCCTCGAGCACCCTCGAGCCACGTGGAACAACCAAGTTAGTGTTTTTTTTCCGCAAGTTGAGCGCCCTCAACTTCAATAAGGAACCTCTCCACAAGTGGACCCACGCAGCCCTGGCAGCAAGCCCCAGCGCAAGGGCCCCCAAAAGCCAAAAAAAAAAACAGGCCACCTCAAAGCCCGAGCACTTAACAAGGGGCTTGAAAACAAGTTAATTTCGTGATACGTGGCTCTTAAATTCACGTAATCAGCTATCATGATGATTCTATACGACTCTCTGGGCTTGCGCCTACGCAGTGGAACGAAGATTGGAAAACACGAAGGCTCACTGACAAAACCAAAACCATTGCGCCCGCGTTCATTGCACAAGACTCTCCTGCCCTCAGCCTAGCAACCGCAATCTCTTTGGGGGTGAAGGGGACAAATTTGTTTGAATGGGATTGCTTTCGCAGGCAGCAAACGTTTTGAATCTCCAGATTGCGATTGTCGGTGAGCTCTTCTTGCAGCTCGCGAAATGACACAAGCCGAGGAGACCAGACCCCAACCTCGCGTACGGAGGCTGTGAGCACTATATGCCTTGGGACTTACGCCAAGGTTTTCACGCTCCTCCCTTAAGAGTTGTTTATACGCCAAGCTGACCTAAGAGCACCTCATGGAGTTCAAGAGCTGTTGCTCGGTTGCAGCTGAAGTCGCGCGCCGGCAGGCAAGCTAGGAATTCCTTCATCATCGCAGCGTACCGAGCTGCAAGCCTGGATTGCCTGCTGCCGAAGTCATGGCTCACAGCGCCATTCACAATGACCTGTCGCTTTGTAAGCTCCAGTACCACTTCAGCTCCCTCGAAAACGAACTTCATTGTCTTGCTGCTTTCGGCCCTCATCCACTCTGTCCGCAAAACCCCCGTTGCATTGCCAATACGAAGGGAAGCTGTCGAGGCAACGTCTATGGCAACGCCGGTAGTCTCATCCCATGTCTGATGGAGGGAAAGGACCGTGGCCGGCTCTCCCAAAGCGGTTCTCAAACATGACAATGCGTTGACTCCGCTGTCAAGCCAGCTTCCCCCCAGAGAATCAGATTGCCTCTTCAAAGTTGTCGCATAAGCATCAGAAAACAATACCTCGAAGGTCAAGAGGCGACCAAACCTGCCCTTCTCTTTGGACATCCAAATTACCTCCTCGGCAAACTGCCCGTGCATGGCAAAATAAGTTGCGCTCGGATAGTTGTCAAAGAAACATCGGAAGTCCGACAGCGAGGTGGCAGCAGGCTTCTCCATGATGACGACTGCTTTGGCGCTGGCAATCTGGGACGCAACTTGGGTGTGAAGACGGGAAGGCACGCAAATTATGATGACATCAGGGCGATGAGGAATAAGTCCATCTGCACTCTCGGCCACCGGGATGCCTTTGGGGATTTTGGACCATGTTGACCTGTCAGGATCTGCACAGGCTACCAGCACAAAGTGCTTGGCGCAGCAGCCCCGGATTTGCTGCAAATACAAATCTGCAACTTTGCCCAACCCACACAAGGCCACTCTGTACTGACAACGCGCTTCTTCAGCGGGGAAGCCTGCAATGTTCTCAGGCGAATGCTTGCAGCACAGGACTCGCTCTGCCTCAATCATCTTGCTGGCATGAGCGAGGACGCTGCACAGGATCAGGCTTAGGCAACCCAGACTGAGCTGGATGCCTGCATAGAGTCCGACTCCTCCGGCTGAGATGCTTGCACGAGCTACGATGGGCCCCAAGAAGCGGGAAACGCTACACTTGAACACATTCCGGATGAGCCACGCGTTCTCGACGGAGCACATGGTGCCTGGGACGCTGCACTGCATTACCATCCCCTCCGCAACACTGCTAGCTACGAAGCCACAGGAAAACACAAGCAGGTCTGCCAGCAGCACTACAAGCGGTGAAGAACTGATGCTGAAATAGAGGAGGAAGGCAGCGCCAGCGCACCCAAAGGAACCTGCCTGCATGACCAGGCCTTGGCCAATGGTTGGTCGCAGGCAGAGCGTGCATCCCAGGATGAAGACCGCCGCTACCAGGAAAGTGCACCCAGTAGCTTGGCCCACATGACTTACGCTCCACAAGAAAAACGTCTGCAATATTAGCGAGCTCGCAGCTTCCAACGAGCTCGTCAAAAGAGCTCGCTCGATGCCATAAGCATTCCCAGCCCACCAGATCGTCCGCTGCCAAGCGCGAACCACGTCCAATTTGCAGGAACACATTTCAGTGTCGGCTGCCACCAAGCGCCCAGGGCTCTCACTGGCTACAGCATCACGCCACGCCACATTGCTTGGGATGACGAAATATGCGTACACCAGGACACTAATTTGCGTGACTCCTACAATCCAGAATGGAAAGGCTGCTTGTTGTCCGGCAATGTCGATCTCCTTGACAGCATTTGGTAGCACGGTGATCCCGCTAGCCAGGAATGGCCCCAAAGCAATTCCAAATGTAATGCAGAAGGACCTGATGCCTTCGTTCTTCACCTTAGGCGTTCGGGCCCGCGGTTCAACATACGCCTCTTGCTTGCCTTTCCCTGCCCTGCTTGGATCGCTTTGAACATGTGTAGCCCCTGCTTCCAGTTAAGGTCTCTCACTGGTCCGGCCCAATGGCATGAAGTTCCAAGTCGACGCCTTTCACTCCACCTCTCATTGAAAGTCTGTTGCTTTGCAACAGCATGAGGCCACATCAGACGAACGTGGCTGGCGCAACATCAGCCATGCGTCGCGCGTTGGCCTTAAACAACTTGACGGGATGTCGCAAACAAAATTTTCGGCCCACGACCGCGCTTTCTTCATGGCACCTACAGCTTTGCCAAGGTGGCCGTGGTCATTGCTAGCCCTACGCCTTGCGACGCCGCAACTGGCAATTGAAACTGCGCCCCGGGAAGCCGCAAAGCCAACGGCCGCGCCCCTGGCCAAGCCGGAGGAAAATACAACAAACGGGGCGAGCGGTTGTGTTTCTGCAGAGTCAACTGGGACGTTGGCCGCCACAATGGAGCAGCTTTGGCACAAACTTCTTTTGATCGATGTGTCTTCAGCCCACATCGCCCGCCCTAAGATGTAACGCGACGTCTTGTCACCACCTCGTGCGGCTAACGCGGACCAGCGGAGCAGCGGACCATCGGACCAGCGGACCAGTGGCTTGCGGGCCCCCCCTGGCGACAGTCGCATCTGACAACAAACGCTGGCGGTGACAGAAGTGTTCACTTTTGCTGCGCCAGCCGCTGCTTTTGCTGCGGGAGGCACAGGTCGCAACGTTCCTGCCATTGACGGACGACAATGCGCGAAGCGGTAACGCGACGCCTCCCCAGTCGGGATGGTTGGCAAGTTGAAACAAAACTTAAAATGTCGCCTGACCAAATATCAAAGCCAACCTTCCTGACCACTGACCGCCTACCACGCACAAACGCAAACCTTTGGATTGAACTGCCTACACCGCGTGGGTCGACAACGTGTACTCCTGGGGTTCGTGCCCTGTAACTCACTCACTGCTAGCTAGCGGCGCACTGGCTGAAAGAAACACCATTCGAGCGAAGATGGCTGAGAGCTTGCAGGTCAAGCTTGACAAACGCGACCGGGTTGCACATTTGGAAACTGGAATTGTCGCAGCAAAGCTTCTGCCATCCAGTCACAACATCGAAAGCAAGAAATTCAACAGTACCCTCTATCCAATACCAATATACTAGTATCCAGTGTTCAGCCTCTACTTTCTATATACAGATTCGTTTAAGCCGCTAGAAGTTTTTGCGCTGCTGTACAGGTGCGAGCGAGACAAGCGTATGACTACTGGCAGGATCAACCAGATCAGGCCGAATGCCAGCGCTTGACTTTGTCTGCGTAGAGACAAGCATATGACTACTGGCAGGATCAACAAGTCACTGAGACAAGCATATATATGGCTATTGGCAGGATCAACCAGGCCAGGCCCGAAAAAAAAATGGAGGCAGCGCTTCTCGCATCCAGACAGGGCAGCGAAAGCAAGAAATTAGCGTATATCTAGTATTTGCAACCGAGTATCAAGTCAAGCACGAATCAAGTCTACTATATGTACCGTTAGAAGTTTGCGCTGCTGTACCAGGTCAGGCGCGAAAAAGCGTCCGGAAGGCACGTTTGGAAAACGGAACAAACGCAGTAGCGCTTCCGGTCCAGACAGGCGGCGGCTGGCGGTCATCGATAAATTGAGTGTCCCTTCAGTGAAGCCGGATGATCGGCCAACACTTGAATAAGCCTCCATGAAGCCTTCTCCATCGGATGACATTGTGTACACGCAATTGAGTCCCACTGCCAGGGCCCAGAAGAGAACAGGTACTTTGTGGTAGTAGAGGATCGTATATGAAGAGAATCCTGTATGTCAATATGGATCGGTAGAGAATGGATAGGCCCTGGTGGCTCGTATTACTGTGTTTCACTGCAAGCCCTGCAATAAGTCCTTTTTTTGTTTATCTGAATGGTGCAAATGTGTACAAGAAGAGGGCCTTGAGCCAAAGTGTTGCGTGGTGATCAACGGTTCAAACCAAACACGGGGGGGGCACCATCTATACATAGTACATTTGATATAGTAGACTTGATACGTGATACTTCGTTATTTGTTACACATGCTAAATACACGTTAATTTCTTGCGTTCGATGCTGCACGACGGAAAAGAGGACCGTTACTCAAGAGCCGTCTCATATGTACAATGCAGTCCTCCAGAACGACCTTTTGCAAGATCCTGACGAAGGAGTCAACTATTTCAAGAGCACGTTGAAGAAGTTCTTCCTGAAGGGATTGACAAACATGTACTTATACAGACTTCTCAGTTTCTTCAACCACAGACGGCAGAATACTGAGTTCCTCATACTCACACCCAAATTTGAAATCCTCCTCTTGATGAGATTGAAGGCAGCCTGGATGGACTTGATGCCCACACATACGGCACAGTTACCAGAGTTTTTAGCATCCGTACAAGATGCCAATGCAAGAAGATTGGCCGCGCGTCAGCAAGCAGCCGGTGCAAGAGCCCCGCCTCCAGATCTGCTACAAGCCGAAAATCCAGAAGTACTCAGGCAGTACATCACCGGCATGCAGACAAGACACAAGGACGCATTTCCCCTCAGCGACAACCTCATTGCGCAATTCTTCATAATCCAGAGTGAATTATCAGATCAGCAGAGAGAAAGACTGATCAGTGCAATGTCATTGAGAAACATCTCGTTTGAGAATTATACCTACGAGATGATGAAAACGCAGTACCACCATCTTTTCATCACGACCAGAACATCCATCCAAGATCCATCCATCCGACCTCCCGGAGGAAATCGGAGCAATACCTTCTACATCCTGGAACAAGGAGAATACGAAGGTGAAGAAGGCTTCTGGGTGGAAGACGAAAAAGTTCTGAAGGACTGGAAGGGTTCATGGCGACCAATGCTGAGACATTTTGGGTTTTGGAAGAGAACGATGCGTTCGTTGCAAGAAAAGTGTCTGGGCGAAATTTCAAATTCCAGAAGAGGATCTCTGCGGAAAACCCCGCTCCGCTACCACAATTGAGACCCAC